ATATCACCAGAATGATTGACAATAAGGAGGACCACTTATTTTGATGATCCACTCAAAAAAAAAACATCCTCCCCTATACATTTAGGCTGACATTATCTGCAGTTCTGAATAAATTAATCCAATATATAAATGAAGCTGATCTGATATTCATCTAAAATACCATTATGTCATGTTTTTTTCTTTGTCTAAATTTGTTCTCTGCAGGCAAAAGGACATAAGCTCATAGTTACTTTACAATACCAGCAACCATTTTCAAAATGGTTTGGGGCGAATTAACCAATGCAAAGCGCAATTTGGTCATACAATGATGTCTCACTTGGCTATAATAGGAAGTAGAGGTAGCAAACTAGCATGTATGGATCAGTAATGGAGCGAGGTTTTAATTAATGTGTCCCATTAGGACAAGTTGTACTTAATTTATCATTTGTCATGAGTGGCGATATATTCCTTCCAGAGACATAGAGAGAGGTGAGATTCTAATGCTTGCAATTAGGAAGCTGGCAGTGGAAACAGCCGATTGTCATGTGAGGTTAGTGTCCTTTTTAGACAATTTACTTGTTTCTGAAAAAGCCAAAACCCATCAAAAGCAAGCCTAAAAGCTTTGGAAAATTTAGTCCAGCTTTTCCATTTCCCCTGAGTTCTTGTAATGCCACATTTCTGAATGCACATTAAAAAAACATTGATGGAAACAAGTTTTTCAATATCAGTGGGTTTTTCTGAGAATAAAGTTAAGAAGATAATTTTAAAAGAAATATTTATGGAGTTTGAGGAGTTTATTCAGGCTGGAAGGAAGAGAGTGCAAGAATGAGCCATCAAAGTCAGTTCGTTGGGGAATATGCTGTAATCCATAACTGTTTTTAGCATTTTAGAAACTCTAACTTTAAATCTAACTTTAAACAGATGTAAATTCTCAAGCAAATGAACAATGTACCCGCTGGAGTTTTAGCAGAGCGAGCCATGCTAATCTCTAAATGTAAATCAGTTGGAGGCATTTAAAAAAAAACACCCTAATTTAAAGCATCTGCTCATACATTACGATGCTGCTTCTGAGAGTAATAAAAAAATATATATATATATATACATATACCGTATATATTTCTGCTCAAGGCAAGAAGGATAGAAAAATTTTAAAAGCTGTTTTCTTTTCAATCAAAACCAAGAGGAAAAAAAAATATTGTAAGGTAAAGCTTAAAAAAAACAGAGATCAGAAATCCACACCAACACTGATATCAGTGCATCTCTGTTAAATAAAAAAAAAGAAAGAAAATAAGCGCTTCGGTGTTTCTCATTTAAAAGTGCAGAAAAAAAATCTTTTATAAAGGACAACAACCAAAAAAAAAACTTGTAAAAACATCTTACACTGAATAATATCCATTTTCTGTCATGTTTATCCCAAGCAGGGTGGCGAGGGCTGCTGGTGAATGGGTGAGAGGCAGAATACATCTTGGAGAGATCACCAGTCCATCACAGGGCAACACAGAGACAAAGGGCCGGATTTATCAAGATCCAATTTTGCGTGCAGTAATTTGCGCTCGCAAACTGGAATTTTGGGGGAGGGGCTGAACCATGGTTTGCGGGTGATTTAACAAGAGTGATTGCGTAACTGGTGGCAGGTGCAAAACTGTTGGAGACGCCCTATTTAAATGATGGTTTTGCGCTTTTTGTGGTTTGCGGCAAATTAGTTGGTACAAACTAGTGCATTAAGAAATTTTTATCTTACAGTGACACCCCCCCCCCCTCCAATATATATATATATATATATATA